GAAAAAATTTATAGAGGGTTCACAAGGTGCTAAAATGTCACAATATCATGAATTTTGAAACATTCAAAAATTGTTTTGTGGTTGCAAAGAATCACAGAATAATATTTTTAGACTTCAAAAATTATGGCATTCTGGCAATACGAGTAGTTATGACACTTTGTGAATCCCCCCAATAGATTTGTAGTTTTTTGTTTTTGACATTCTCTTTTAATTTGTGAATTTATTGTGTGTTTGGGGCACTTACACATGTATGTAAAAATTGTTTCGAAATTTCTTCGCATACATTTGAATACACGACTACATCACCAGTGGTTAAACTTTTGGCAATAGAGATGGGCGCAGTTTAGTAAAGTAAAAATTAATTTTCGATTCTTTCCTAAAAAAATATGTGTAGCTGACAGAGCTTGAATTATACTCAGTACGGACAACGAAAAAGTTTGTTAAACAAAAGTGAAAACTTAAAAAAAAATGCTCTTTACGAAAACTGTAGGGCTTTACATTTATTTCGATAAGCAAATTAAAAACGAAAAATGTAATGTTTTTTATTTAAAAAATATTATTGTTTTAAGTTAACTTGAGGTTTCTTTATGTATTTTAAATAATATAAGATTAAGACATTTACTAAACAAACTTCTAAACGTTTTATGTTATAGTTTAAAAAATTAATTTTTTCAGAAGGACAAAGAACAAATAAGGGCAACAAAAAACTTTATGCAAGTGCCAAACAACTTTTTAATAAAAAATATGCATTTAAAATTATTTTCAAAAAAATTGTTTTATGTAAACTAGAGCTTCTTAGTGTAATTCTAAAAAAGAACAGGTTAGGTAACTTGGATTTTTTAGTCGAAAAAAAAATTTCAAAATGTCATGAAGATTTTCTCAAAAAAAAAGTGTTAAAAAAAATAAATATTTAAGAAATAAGTTTTTGAAGTAAACTAGAGGTTTCTTAATGTATTTAAAATAATATAAGATTAAGGTATTTAACAAAAATATGTCTAAAAGTTTTATGTTTTAATTTAAAAAATTAATTTTTTTTCGGAAGGACAAAGGTTTTTTTCCAAATAACAAATAAAGTTAACGAAACAGCTTGTTAATCCGAACTGCAAAACATTTTTTTTTATAAAAAATATGAATTTGAAATTTATTTTGGAAAAATTGTTTTTATGCCAACTAGAGGCACTTAATGTAATTAAAAAAAAAAATAAAATATTAAGAAATTTTTGTTCTTAGTCGAAAAAATTATTTTTCAGAATGTCATGAAAAGTTTCCCAAAAAACGCAAAAGTACAACTATTTTTTAATTTTTATACAATCATGTAAGAAACATTGTTAAACGGGAAAAGAGCGGAGTATTTTGTTTTAATTTTTTTACATTTTAGAGCTACAGCGATTGTCTTTATAAGTACCGAGCGATTGTTTGGCTGTTTGAATTTGAAGAAAAATTATACCAAAATCATAGAAATAAAAAAATAAATAAAAAATAATTTTATTCTTATTCCAGCTACCCATCTCCAATTGCTTTGCTTATGGAATGTCAATACCCCCAATCATATAAATTACTCAAAGTAGAAAAAAAACATGCAAAAAAATAGTAAAAAATTAGTAACTGAACATGTACAGTGTGTGAGAAATGTAAAAAAAGGTGAAAATAGTAACGAAAACCAATTAAAATTTGTGGAACATTTTAATGGCACATCGATACGTTACGAAAACATAAACATTAATAATCAAACCCACAAATTACCTATTTAGTTGGCAATAATTTTTCAAACATTTTATGCCCAAAAAAACTTGCTTTGCACTGAATTGTTAAGTTCCCATTGGCAAAAGTTTACAAAAAAAAAATTTAACACTGTTAATATTTTTAATAAATGCGTCTATAACAATTCGAATGCTTATTCAATACAGTACACAAATTTTAATTTTCTAAATAAAAAAAGATATTTCCATACTTTCATCGCACACTGTACTTCTTGCTTTAAGAGATATTCATAACATTTTCTCTATCATTAACTTATAGAAAATTGTAGTTACATTTTGGCATTTAATAAAAAAAAACTAATTGTATGCATTTTCCTCGGCGGAAGACCTTTTGTAGAACTTTAAAGTGTTTTTTTGTTTTCATTGAAGAAAACCATGTTTGAACTTATTTGCTAAGTAAGTACTAAATTTGTGCTTGGCGAAACGTAAATTTGGCATCATAATGTGTAGTTAAAAATTGTGACTCATTAGGGTGCGTATTCATTTTTTCCAAACCATACTCGTACAAGGTAGTGCAAATTGGGCAATCGCTTTTTTTCGAATTTGAAGATTTTCCAGTACAACTATTTTATTTTATTGAAATTTTTCTTTATATTCTGTATGGTACTTATGCATTTTGATTATTGTTCTATGAAAGTGAGTGTTGAGTTTTATTCATTACATGCAAATATACGAGTTTTTTTGCTCTTAAAAATTTGCTGCTTTAAAAAAGTTAAGAAAATACAAAAGAAATTTTTATTTTATTTTTTTTTTTTTGAAAAATTTTACCAGCATACGAGTATACATTTCTAGTAAGTTTTTCCGTAAAACATTTTCTGCAGACAATGTCATTTTCTTTACTTCATCTACTAATTTCTACTCGAAACGTTTAAATACAAATGCCGTTGCCTTTTTGCACTACTCGCATGCCAATTTTTGCACTTACGTGCCACAATTTTCTTATAGTATTCTACATACACTCCTCCTTTTTCTTCTAGCTTAGCACTTTTCTCTCATTTTATGTCATTTTGTCTAATTTTCACTAGTTTTCGTCAACTTCACTTTAACTGCGCTCTCCAGTTCTACATCTTGTCGCATGTCTCCGTTTTGCCAATTATTTTCATTTATTTTACGAATTAATATACCTTAGTCCGCCGCCTAATTCTCTTCGGTTTGGTTTGTTAGTATTTTTCGTCGTCATTTATTTCCCGCTGGGAGTTCAGTAATTCTCAGGCTTTGTAGTGTTGATTGCGCACCGCACAGCAAAGGCTCAATGAGAAGGTCAACGCCAACAGTTCCAATAGAATTACACCCGCTGTGATGCCGAACAGCAGTACCCAATTCTCGTAGATGAGCTCAATTAATTTGTCAACACAACCCTGCGCCAGATGTGCGTGAGGGTATATACATATATGTGTGTGGGTGTGGGTGTGGGCGCGGCGGGAATGGAAAAGAAGAAATACATTTCAATTAATTGTGGAATTTTTTCTTAAATAAAAATAAAAATAAAAATTTAAATTGAAATAAAACCTAATAGTAGTATTTACGTTGTATGGTAATTAAATTTGATACCATATATATAGAATGGTATTTATAATTTGTGTTCTATGAAGTGTGTAGTGCAAGGAAATGGAAAAAGCCTTATAAAAAAACAATCAATCTGCAGAGTCGGACTTAGAACTATTTGATGAACACTCATAAAGTTGCAAAGAGTTGATCCTTAAGATTTAAAGAGAACTGCACATAAACCTAGAGCAGTCAACTAAACGCCCTCTTTTTGGAAAAATTGCATCATATCGGAATATGGCAAGATTTAGTACTCAGCTTCACCGAGATGTCGGCAATATACAGAGTAATAAATTTTAGTATTAACTTTAGTCTATAAGGAGAAACAAAGCAAACTGGAATTATATTATTTTTTATGATACTTCCAGATATATCCTAACAAAAACATAGAATTGTAATTGGTACAGTTGAACTAGAATCAAGGATATCGGGGTCTGTGAAATATGTGCTTATTAAGTGCTAGTCGCGCCACTGTTATGACCCTTCTTTCCTTCAATTTTATTTATTTATTCTTTATACCCGAGCGCACTTGTGCACAAAGGTATTATAACTTTGTTCACATAACGGTTGCTTGTAACAGGCAAAACGAAATTAGATAGACATAAATGATTAGAATGAAAAGAGAAATCGATTAAGCGGTGGCTGTCTGTCCGTCCGTCTGTCTGTCCGTCCGTCCGTCTGTGCACACGATAACCCGAGTAAAAATGTAGATATCTTAACGAAACTTGGTATGTTCACTTCTTTCGGGCGTAGGACGAATGGTATTGAAAATGGGCAAAATCGGACAATAACCACGCCTACCTCCCATATAACGGAAATTTTCAGAAATACGAATACTGCGATATTTTAGTAACTACTGAAGATTATTCACTCAAAATTGATATTTACAATAAGTTTTAGACGAAAAATAAGAATATTATAAATTTTTGGAAAATGGGCGTGGCCACGCCCACTTATGGTTACATGTGTATATCTTGGTAACCGCTGCACCGATTTCTTCCAAACTTGGCACAGTTGTTGGCCTTGATACATAATACCAAATGGCCTAAAATTTTTAAAATCGGACAATAACCACGCCCACATCCCATATAACGGTAATCTAGAGATATACGAAATCTCCGATAAATCAGTAAATATTAAAGCTAATTTATTCAAAATTGATGCTTGCAACAATTCTTTACCAAGAAATAATATAAGTTGGCGTTTGGTCTTATGTTAACATTAAATTACTGCATTTTTTTTGATTTTTTTCGGGTGTAAGTAGTGCTCTTGACGCCGTAGCCGAGTGCTAAGATGTGCCTACTGCCACTCGGGAGGCCCATGGTTCATTTTCTGGTCCCAGCAACATCAAAAAAAAGTTTCTTGAAATACCGGTCGCATTTCGGCAGACAATGGCAAACCTCCGAAAGTACTTCTGCTATTAAAAATCTTCTTCAGAGATGGAGGTGCTTGTGTAAAACCATCATTTATTGGAATCAAATATGATAGATATGCAGTTCTTCCACAAACTTGAATATTTATAATTTCAAAAATATTTAGGGGTTTCCCTTAAACCGAAAAATACTTTGAAAACTTCGAAACTTTTATTGAGAGGTCAAGATTTGTATGAAATGAAAAAACTTTGATCCATAAAAAAAAAATCGAGTTATTCGAAAAATCATGATCAAAAAAAAAACGCCAGTGGATATGTAAAAAAAAAAAAACGGTGGAAACCGGTTTGGAAAAACCGAGTCAATAACCCTAGTGCCTACTCAAAAACGTCTCAACAAGAAGAAAAATAGTATTTCCAACAAACCTGTTGATATATTGCCTGATTCAGTGAACCACCGAATTTCAATTTTCTCGACATTTCGCACACATTCTCCTTCAGCTCATCTTTGCAACACGATTCCGGAATATTGTAGAAGACATTCATCGATGAAATGGCAATATCGACGATATTTGTGCGATCGACATTATTGAAACGGCTGGTTGCCCAATCAGCCGGGCCATCGGCGCCGCAACATTTCAACTGAAACGAAATAGTAAAGGGAAAAAAACAACAAAGAAATTTGAGTATCAACTTTTGATTATGTTTACAAGTGTGGGCGTGCAAATATGTGCATATGTAAATATGTAAATAAACAATTCACTGCACATTGCACTTGTATATTAATACATCATTGTATATTTTTTTATTTTTTTTTATTTATTTGTATATGTTTGTATACATACATTCTTTTGTATGGTATCAAATGTGACAGTGCGCGAACTCATGCTCGACTGGCCATACTCCTCCTGCACCGAATACTTCACCGATGCGCGTACAATGTCATCGAGTTTGTCTTTGTTGTGGAATGCCCATGCGCCGGCGGCAATTTGGGCCACCATCACCACCAAAATTACGCAGAAGAACTACAAAGTAGAAAATGGAAGTCATAAATTGAATATGTGCATAATCATAAAAATACAACAAAACAAAAAAAAACACTAAAATTACATGCACACATATGTATTTATGTATGTACATTAGGGCGGGGACAATTTGTAGGGGTGATTTTTTCGACTATGCGCTTACATGTTATTCTAAGCAAATCATGGGTCTAAAGTCAATTTGGAGTTTGCCAAATTGCGAAAATAGGGTGCTTAGCATTTTTCTGTAGTGTCGTAAAGAAATGCTTAAAATTTGTATAAAAACATAAAGAAATGTTTAAATTTTTTACTAAGGGGTTTTTGGAAATTTTTTTTTTGCCGAGCGTAGGGATCGGCTTATTACATTATTCGTCATATCTTCGGCACTGCAGTCGGATCTCAAATCGGTTTTTTTGTCTTGAGGAGACAATTTCGAAATTTTTTTTCTACGGTATTTATATGCTATATCGATTTTTTTGTATCTCTCGACGACAACTTCGTTCAAAACTAATGTTTTTTTAACATTTTTCGGGTAAGGGTAACTTTTTTACATTTTTTGTCCTATATTCGGCATTTACAGTCGGGTCTCGAAGTATGATGTATCAATTTGCTTGTCTCGAGCAGACAATTTCGAAAAAAAGCTCATAGAACTCAAGTACCCCGTTCTAGAACTGACCCACCAGATCTTAATTTTTATCACGCTAACTTACCACCCTAATGTTGAAGCTCACAAAAATCGTTAAACTTTTGCAAGGGAAGTATTTCAACTATTTCAGTAGAACTAGTAAAAAAAAATTATATTGCCGAATGTACAAGTAAGTGTCCCGAAAAATGTGAATAAGCGATAGATTGGGACAAAAAAAAAATATTTTTTTTTCAAAATTGCCTTGCGAAAATTCTTTAATAAACTGAGGGGTGTACGGCGAACTTTTTTTTTTTTAAGGTGTTGTGGTCTAATGTACATAAAAAACAAAAATATATATATGCAACAAGCTATCAAAAGTTTGCAGCTGCTAAGATTTCGCGCAAATCGCCTACGGGCATACTTTTAAGCACGCCGACGACTCCATATTTACTAGCAGCATGAGCGCTGTTGTGCGCTGCACTACGCAGTGGGTGGCTAAATGCGTGCGCCACTCAACGGCTGGATAATGCTGTTGTGCGACGCGTGGGCGTTAAGCGTCCAGTTCAGTCGCTTTTCATGTACGCTAATCGAAATTCACAGCCACAAATTTTGGAGGTTGTCGCATGACATATTTAATTAAGTTATGTTTTCAAATAGCGTATTTGAGTGACATGTATGTATGTATGTATGTATTTAGGTACTCACCGATACGAGGAGACATTGTGATTCTTTCACAACGCCACAACAGCCAAAGAAAGCGCCCAGCGTGATGAGCACACCAATGCCAAGGAAGACATAGAGCGCTATGTAGTAGTGATTATAGGATTGGGTCATAGACAGCACGAATGTGGGATCGGTGAGCATCCATATCGAGGCGACCACAATGATTAGGCCAATAATCTGCAAAACAAATAAACAAGAGACGAATATGTACTTACATGTAGTAATTAAAGCAACGTTTGTTGTGCTATGTAGAAAATAATTGCAAACAATTTTTCAAGCAAAACAAAGATAAATGGGAATTTAAGTGAGTGTGAATGGAAAAAATAACAAGATACGAGTATTTGGTATATGTATGTATGTATGTACGCAGGGGTGCACCCAGGAATATATTTTAGGGGGGGTTTTATATTTCTGAAGATATATCACCGGAAAATACTGAAAATTTGCTTCAGATAATACCCTCTTTAATATACATTTATGCAAGTTTTAGGTACAGTATGTAATAAATAAATAAACGTTTTAAAATTCATAAACTGCACTTTATTTACAGATTAACAGAACTCAAACACTTTTACCCAACTTCAAAAAAAAGGGAGGTTATCATCTCGCCGGAATACATAACTTTGGACGACGTGAACCGTTTTCAATAATCCTTTTTTATTAGAAAGATAGTACCTCAAGGTTCGTCCCGTAATTTGTTTTAGAGATCCGATGATTGGGTCATGAAGAAATTAACGGTACCCCTAAATTTGAATATAAGAATTGAAGTCGGTTGTGTTCTTTCCTTAAAAACTACTTGCTTAATAAAAAGTTCTATAAACTCAAGATGCGCTCAACTTTCAAAAGTACCTAATAAAAAATTTTAAAAAAGAGTCTGTAAAAATAAATTTATTGATTCCATGAATTTTTGCACTTCTATGTTCATTTTTTCGATCTCTGATTTTCGATAGAGATGGTGATTTTTCACGATTGCTAAATTTTTTTAATATTTCAAATACCGAAAAAATTAACTGAACTCTCAAGAAAAACGAAAATTCATATAAAACGACGGACGAGAAATGTAAAAGAAATTTTCTTCTACCAAAATTTCTTAAATCAGTTTGCAGCTCTCAAGAAAAAAAATGCTCGTATATTTATTCCCTCATGAAAATTTACTTTGAGAGCTGGATTCTTAGCTTTAAGATACAGATTGTATTTGAGGTTATTAGCTTTAGGGGGGGGTTCGAACCCCAAAACCCACCCCTTGTGTGCGCTAATGTATGTACGTATAAATGTTTATTTTTGTATTTTCTAATATATTGTGAGATGTGTAGATGTTGTTAGGCGAAGTACAGTCGACTGAGTAGGAACGGGAAGTGAGCTATAAATTATTTATAGAAGCAGCATACGTACAGTAATCCCCACATGAGTAAATCGAATTCAATTTACATATAATTAAAAAAATGGTTTTGTTTTTTTTTTGTATCCGACTGCTCCCGCGCCACAGGGCCCAAATTGCGGCAATCATCTCTTGAAATTTGACTAAGAGATTGTTTATGGCAAGCGTAAAATTTTTTTAGCTGAAGCTGAGATTCGATCGAATACTAAATTACTAATTTTGAAACATCTGTTCGATAAGTTAATGAGCTGCTTTTGTCAAAGGTTCCCCACAGAAACCCATCGTAGTGCTTACCAGAATTTTTTCTCAGCAAATAAAACTATTTGTTTACAAGCGTAGGTAAATGCTTCAGTAGCGTGGGCCGAAAATCCGCTTTTTTAGAATTTTGACTGGTAATAGGAAAAATATGGTTCATTATGCTCAAAAAACAATCTCTGTGAAAGATGACAATTTTTGGTCAATATCTTAAACTCGCCCAAGTCCATCAAAGTTGAAGTGCTAAAAAAAAAAATTCTGAGCCTAAGATATTCACCAAAAATTTTCATCTTTTTCATAGATTATTTTTAGGGCATAATGAACCATATTTTTGCTATTATCAAAATTCTAAAAAAAAACGGATTTTCGGCCCACGCTAATGCTCAGGTTCTAAGTACTTCGAAAGAAAATCATTTTCTTCGTTCTAACTCCTCTGTTTTTGTATTATCGTATACTCATGTATGGTTATTTTCTATGTATATGTAAGTATGTATCTTAAATTCTTTAAATAAATATCTTACTAATTACATAATACAATTATTTCTATTGTATATCGCAATATCTTATTGAAAAGCTCGTACATACATATGCATGTATTTATGTACGAATGTTTTTTTTTGTGCATACGTGTGTATGTGTATGTACAAGTATATATGTAAGTAATTGCTCGTATATTGTATGGCTGAATTATAATAAACAATTGGATGAATCGATTGCGCTTTCTTACGTATATATTCATCATGAAATTTTAAGTAAACACAAGAAAAATAATTTGAAATTTAACGGTCAAAAATATTGATAATCCCTGAACTTGTGGTATATTGTAAGAGTGTGTACTTAGTATACCCGCCCTAAGCTTTAAGTTAAGTTATTGTAAAC